CCCCCCCCCCCGCAGACCCCCCCCTGCCGTTTCTTGTGGCCTCGACCCTCCTTCTCATCCTCGTCGATCAAGCTGTGGCCCCAGAAACTGCTCATCCATTTCGCAAAGGAAATGTCATCATCCTCTTCATATTCCATGTACAGACGCTCCGGACTTGGGGGAGTCTCCCAGCCAGGCACGGAGAGGCAAGGTCAAAAGCCACCGTGGAGCCAATAGCCTCACGCTGGTCTGTCAGCGGGAGCGCGAGGAGAGGCCGTTTCAACCCTCCCTCCGCGCTCCGTCCCCCCAAGCCCGTCCCACTGGAGCCCCAGGCACTGTCTAAGCATAAAGTCGATTCCTTCTCGTCTATTTTCAACGGGGTTTCTTTCGGTCTTTCCATTACCGCGATGTCCAATGTGACACCGCCGCGAGGAGTGCATTGTCAGCTCCGTGCTCATTGCTGTCAATGCCAATGCCGGGCTGCCCACAGAAACATGCCTGGGAGCTGTGCGCTCTCACCCGCAGCGGCCTTGTGATTCTCGGAAGTGGAGCCGACGTATCGACAGCGGTCAGGAATCGGCACGGCTGCCGGCGGAGGCTTAACTAGCAAGCTCTGGATGGGGCTCACCTAGCCCATGTCTATAATTCAAAAAAAAGAACAAAACAAAACAAACACATCCCCCCCAAAAAAAAAACAAAAATAGGGCTGGGGACCCTGTGCGAAGACATCTACTCTACATAACATATGTGCTGTGGGTCTTCTCTCTCTAGGCTCTACGAGCTGCACTGTGACTATAATAAAAAAATTATATTTTTGTATGTCTCTGTGTCTCTTTTTTTTTTCTTTCTGTTTCCAAATGTATAATGCAATGTGTGACCTCTACCCATTAAAGTGCAGTTCCATAGTATGAAATTGGAGGGATGCGTTGCACGCCTTGGGGCATGGCTGAAGGACACGAGCAGCGCGTTGAGGGCGCAGAGTCTGCTGGAATAGTGTTGGGAGACTGCGGACTCTAGGAGGAGACCCAGATATAACTTCCCATGGGATATGTGTGTGCTAGGCCTTCCCTGGATGCCCGATGCTGTCTTGGTGATGCTGAAGGGATCGGTAGGTCAAGGATGCCCCTGTGGGGCAGTCTTGCCTCGTCTAGGGTGGGCGAGAGCCAGCGTGCGTGGCCGTGCCCATAGCAGATCCTCAGGCGATGCACATCTGAGCTTGGAAACACGACCAAGCTGCAGCAGGATGCTCGCTTGGGAGAGCGCAGACGGGGAGGAGCGAGGGGGACACCTGCGGAACAGCAGCACAGAGGGCCCTGAAGCCATAAGAAGGGCACGGAGGCTGGCCCTCTGCTACGTGTGCCGTACGGCCCACGTTCCCTCCTGCCGGAGGTGCTGAGCAACGTTCCCTTGCCAGGTGAGCGCGGCTGGCAAACCTGAGGGCAACTCCAGCGTGCAGCCTTCTGAGCAAACCCTCCAAGGCACACACACGCACAAGGAGTAAAATAAACACGTGTGCTGACAGTTTTCCCTTCTCTTTCCACTGTTTATAGATGGAACAACCCAGGTAGCTATTATAACACCTGCAAGTGATTATGTATGTTTTGCATACATGTGAACACACAGAGATGTGGTGTGTATGTATATATAAAACTGTGTATATAAAAAAGTGTGTATGTATAGTTGCGTGTTGTTATAAAGCTGTGTAGTGTATATATAAGATTATGGGATTGTATATTTAATGATTTTTCTGAACACAGATAAATTCAATCATTAACCACCATATGAATGAAAAATAGCATCTAAAGAAAGGGCAATTTTTAAACAAAGCGTTCCCGTAGTAAAAACTTGCTGTCAGGCCTGTGTATTAGCTGTCCAGAACCTCCTCCTACACGAAATTAAGAGTTAAAAGATTGGCCTGGCTAATAATTTCTTTCAACTCATAATGATAGTGTGTGTGATACCTGGAAAGTCATAAGTGTAGAGATTTCTGTGGAGGAGGGAAAACATCATGGAGAAAGTGAAAAAGAAAGGGCCTCTTTGGGGACACGTTGGCCCGGATCGAGGCGAGAGGGGCTCACAGCGCCCGGGACAGACAGGCCGGGAAGCGGGGGAACCCTCTGCGGGGACGCCGTTCCCCGGCGGTGCTGTTACAGGGGAGCACCGCGACCGCGCGGGGGGCGCCATTAGGCCGGGCGCCGCGCGGGGGCCGCCATTGCGCCGTTAGGTGGCGCGGGC